AAGAAAAGGAAAAGAGGAAGAGGAGTGACTCAGATTCTTTGGAGCACTCACCAGCTATGCTCCAGATAGAGCAAGAACACTGATTCAACCCAGCATCACATCGCTCAGTTAAGCAGGCTAGGTTCCCAGAACTGCAAGTGCTCCAGTCTCTAAGGAAGGGCTTTTGGCCAAGATCGCCATTGGCCTGTCACTACAGAAACAGAGCCAACACATCAACACCTTGAGGCCAGGTGTTTACAACCAGTGTTCTCACCAAATGCTTCCTATAAACTATTACACATGCCAAGCCCAGTGGGTGAAGTAAAGGGACTTCTCTCAGTAGGTCCCCAACTACTCCCCAGATCCTCGCATCACATTTACACACAAATTCTTAGAGAAATGTCTGATTTCTCCCACACAGAACTGGAGACTTTGCTGCCAAATGAGATCACTGTGAGAGATAATACAGTTTGGGTCATGCCCTTCTGAGGACTCCCCTTCTGAGGACACCCCACTCAATCAGGCTGCCTATCACAGCAGTGCAGTCACCAGAGTGGCAGCAGCCCTAGGGCCCCCCAGCATCTCAGACAGGCCCGCGTCATAAGTTGAGATGGTGAACTTGAACCTCAGAGTTCCTCACAGAAGAGCTACATGAAAAGCAGCTGCAACGTGAAGAAGTGCAGCTAACAGCCAGCTTCCCCAAGTTAGGACACCCAGGCCCTGAGACGTAGAGCAAGGCGCGTGCGCACACACACACACAGACACCATTATACACCACACACACACACAGCACACACACACACACACCCCCCACACACACATGCACACCATGGGTCTTCATCTGTCTAACATCTATCTGCCTGTCTAAAGAGCTTAGCATTATGTTCTTTAAGAGTCCGATCACCTAAAGTTCATTCCTATTACTTCTACTCTATAATTTTCTAGGGGATCATTAAGTATGAATTATTGGTACTTAAAAATGACAGGAGGGAACTAACACAATTTTTTTGCATTTCTCAAAGTATATTTGGATGTTATTAGTTATATATTCACTCACTTGTGCGTGTGTGTGTGTTTATAATGCTATGAAATTTACATCACATCCTTAGCTTTGGTTGACGACCACAACAGTCAAGATGCATAACTGTTCCATTCCCACAAGGCTCCTGTGTTCCCCACTTAAATCCATACCCGCCCCTTTTCCAGATGCTTACCTCTGGTAAATATTACTCTTTTTTCCATCTCTAGGATTTTATTATTTTAAAAATATTTGAGTGAATGCTTACGTCATGTAACCTTTTAAGAATTGCTGTTTTTTTTTCACATAACATAATTTCATTGTGATCCATTCACTTTGTGCAAACCCTTTTCATGTTGTCCAATTACGGTAAAATATCCTTGATGTGCTCATAGAAATGGTAACTGCATCTCCCCATGCTTATCTGCCTTCTGCTTGTATTTCTTTATGATAGCTTAGTCTCCATGGTCCTTCCATGATGAATCTGATATATTACAGTGCGTGCATATGGTAGAATTCTGAAGATCATTAAGGAGGATGTTTTGAAAGATTACTTAATATAATTTAAAACATTCTAATTGTGGTAAAAACATATGTAAAGCATGACAACATTTTCATCAACATTTATTAAAAGACAGAAAACATATGAAACAGTATATTAAGTCTGATTACATATGGCTAGTGAAAGTACAGATGATGTTTATTCTCTTGTTTTCTTTTCAAAATATTCTCCAAATGTTACCTATTACTGACTGAGGAATCTTAAAATTCTACTTTGAAAAGCTGACAAGACACACGTCTGTCCATTTCTCAATTCGTGAAATAATGGTGTTTTTTCTTTTCAGCATTTTTGGTCAGACACTAAAGGGGGCTGGATATATAATTAGCAGCTTTTTATTGCTATAGCTTTACATTTGATCATATCCCTTATAAAATCTCTCTTGAAGAAAACCCCAATAGTAATCTTTGTCTTCACAGCACTAACATATGTACACGGAAGACACAGACACCCAGTAGCCATATGTATCTATAAAGCAGTCCACCAGTCTGGGTGCGGTATCTCACGCCTGTAAACCCAGCACTTTTGGAGACCGAAGCGGGTGGATCACGAGGTCAGGAGTTTAAGACCAGCCTGGCCAAGGTGGGGAAACCCTGTCTCTATTAAAAATAAAAAAGTTTGCCAGGTGTAGTTGTGGGTGCCTGTAATCCCAGCTACTTGAGAGGCTGAGGCACAGAATTGCTTGAACTCAGGAGGCAGAGGTTGCAGTGAGCCAAGATCATGCCACTGCACTCCAGCCTGGGTGACAGAGTGAGACTCCATGTCAAAAGAAAAAATAATTCATCAAAATTGGCAGATCATACTAGGGTAAAAAAAAAAATCAGAAATGAGTTTGTCTATTATCCAAGAGCCAGCTGGATAGAAATCATAAAATTGGCCACAATATGATGAAATTTGAAGAAATTGATTATTATTAGAGAGGTGATAAAAATAATAGAACATAGTGATAATAATAGTATCTACCACTAAATTGTCATGAGAAAAACATTAAATCGGAAACTGCATACGAAGTACTTAGCACGTGCTACAGACAGTACTCAAAATAGTAAAGAAACACACGGCTAACCGAAGAGACAGACGCAAAATATCGAGTTCGAGTTGTTCACAGTGAGAAAGTTATTTGCTTCACCTTTGAAGTCTTTTATTTTATCATTATTTTAAGTGTGTGCCAGGAGTTTTTCGGACAAAGCAAATGCAAAACATAAGATTTGAATGAGTGTGCAGAAATAATAAGATGGGCTGATCCTGACGTTTATTCTTATGTGATGAAAATGAGGGTTAATCTAAGCAGAAATTGAGATCAGTGCCTAGTTGTTTGTGCTTTCTAAGACTTTCCTCTGAATTTAGTTAATACAAGAAAATAAATCTAAATACAAGAAATAGCAATATGTGGATTTGTTCATTTGTAAAATATTAGCATATATAGATATTTAGTATTCTATGTGAAAAAAATAAACATAATGTTACCTCCAATTTAGTTTGCTGTTAATGTGGTTGGCTGTTTAGAACAATAAAAAAAAATTGCTTATGTAAATATCACATTTCTTCTGGCAACAAATTACCAAAATTGTGGGCTATAGCCTCATAAGAAACTGAATAGCTCATTTGCACTAAACTTCCCAAAGTGAGTAGACCTTGTAAATTCTACTTTTGTTTTCTCTATATGTTAGATCAGAATATTGAGGAGCATAATTTCAAGAGCTATGAGTAATGTAAAGTACTCCTGTATGCTTAGTGTTAATGAGATTAAGAAGGACGGATGGTAAATGATAGAATGAATCAGATACTTCTTCTTGTAAGAATCTTTTCTGGATAGTGAATGTGCATAGGCTTTGTTTTCATTCCAACAAACTCAGAAAGGAAGAGAAAGCAACACAGACAAAATTGTGAAAAATTGTGAAGAGAAAAAGCTGTTTGAGTAGGGTGACTACAGTTTACAACAACATGTTGTATTTTTCAAAATAGTTACAAGAGAGGAATTTAAATGCTCCCAACAAAGAGAGAAATGATAAATGCTCAAGGTGATGTATGTCCTGAATTTCCTAATATCCTGACTTTATCAATACACATATGATACATGTAATAAAATATCACATATACTTATATTTATACGTATTATGAATTAATAAATATATAGGTATTATGAATCAATAAAAAATAACAAAAGAGAGTGTTCTTCTTTTCTATATTACTTATGTCCAAGCCACTCTCTTGTGGCAACAAATATGGGGGGTGATGATGATGATGATGGTAGGGAGGAGGGAGACCCAGGCATTTGGCATTCCCTCCCCCTCTGTCATCCACTGTGCATCTCAATAGAAGAGAGATCAGGCCACTTGGCACCTCCTGAATCTCCTTCCTGAAAACAACAGGCTAGGCCTTGGGGAAACTCTCCAGAAGGCACTATTTTTACTTAAAACAAGTTCAAACCGAAACCCTTTCATATGTGATTCCTAAAACGGTAAACAGAGACCTTTTCACATGTGAGTCCTAAAACTTTAAACCAGAACCCTTTCATATGTGACTCCTGAAACTATGAACCTAAGATTTTTCCACGTGTAACATCTAAAGTATAAGCCTATATAAAGGTTGAACCTCCCTTTGTTAGATGAGCTTGGCTGTTAGGCACCTATGCCACCAAGACCCCAGCTGAAATAAATTCCTTCCTCCTGTATTCAGTGTCCGAGAGATCCTTTCCCACAGCTGCTCCTCCTACAGTAGTGGTAATAGTGGAAACAGTGATGATATGTTGCTGCAAATAAACCTCTATTAAATGACAGGTAATTATGTGTCAGGCATTGTGCCAGCAAAATTTCAGATAGTAATTCAATTTTATGCCTTAGACTAGCTTATTAAGTAAGTGTTATTTTGCTCACTTTGCACTACAGAGGTAGACATTCAGAGAGTTGAATAATATGTTCCTCAAATCAATCAAACACCATTAAGGAAAATAAAAGGGGTTTAAAATAAAACAGAAATAATCTTTGGTATGACCCAAATTGTGATATGCTGCCTGTGGATGAAAGAAAGATGAAAATAATTGTATTTTCAAATGATTGTATATATTGCTAATAAAGCAGATTTGAAGAGAACCAAGAGATCCATTCACAAATATATATTCATAGATACTTTATTCAGGGAGTGAAAGAAAAGTGACAATGGCACAGGTGGGAGAAGCTCATGCCCAGGTGACAGACAGACACAGAACACATCAACAGAATTCTCTGATGGTTCCCAGGGAGAGAGCTGCTGCTCTTTCTTCCAAAGCTCTGGGAGCTGGAACAGCTGAGGACTTCCTTTTCTCAGTCTCCACCTGGATGGTGGCAGTATGACAGCCTCAGAAAGGAAATCTTTTGCTGTCAGGGATCATAACCAGCAGATCACAGGCAAAGGGGAAAGACGCTCCCTGTGTATCCATGGTAGGCTTTGATGAGAAGATGCAGGTGGGGCTACAGAACGAGGTGGGCCAATTATCCTCATCCTTTCATGGTCCTGATGAATCCTGAAGCTGTTACTTGCTCTTGGGTGGACACTTTGGCTGGCAGGGTGGGGAAGGTGGCACAGGAGGACATTTCTGCTGGCACTGCTGAGGTGGGCAGGGCTCTGGACGCCTTCGTGGTGGGTAGGGCTCAGGACACTTTGGGCGTGGACATGGCTCTGGGCACTTTGGTGTGGGGCACACAGGAGGTGGCTGGCAGGGCTGCTTACACTGCTGCGGTTGATACGACATCCTGCTGGAATCTCAGAATCTGAAAGAAATGATATGACAGTGTTCATGGGAAGGGACTCCTTCAGAGAGAGAAGCCAAAGCTTATGTAATACCGTGGGATATTATTTCTCCAATTTGCAAGAAATTATTCAAACTCTTAATTCCCTTTTCAAGACTCCCTGGTGTCTCTCTTCCACTTCATCAAATTGCTGCATTGTCCCTGGGAAATCTTGTGTTTTCTCATACAATTTTTCCAAAGAAAAATCTCTGTGGTAAAGAACTGATCATGTTATTTCCATGAAAATACCACCTTCAAGAAAGGCAGTCACAAGTTCAGATACCCATGACAATCTCACAAGCTATTTCTATCATCATTATCTGTTGTAAATTCCCAGTGGGTTGATTTGGAAACAGAGCAAAGGGCTGTTTGTGAAGAACTGCAGTCTCTTACACCTGCTACGACATAAACCTTTGAAAAAGACACCAGAAAAGCAGAGAAAAAAGAAAAATATTTTGTTCTTTTTTTTCTTCAAATCAAAGCTTTCCACTTAACTTCTCTGTCCATATGAACACCTAACTGTACCGAAAGAAAGCTAAAATCGCATATCATTGTGCTCTAACCTAAATTTTCATCCACTAAGTAGCATCAAGTCAACATTCATAGGATTGGATCAACCAATCTTGCTGTATTCAGATTAAACTTAACATTTCAGGGCACACATCACAGAGGAACTCAAGGAAGCAGACTCATCAGGTTCTCCAAAGCAGATCGGTGCTCGGGAGTTTAGGAGTCGTGCAGCAGAGGATCTCTTTATAGGGCCTGCTGCCCCACCCAAGACATATTCCAGAATGAGATCCAGTCTCCCCAGCACATTTGATACTTCTCCCCATCATAGCTATATACTATTGTCTTTTTATTTATAAAAATGTACTCTTGGACACCACATTAAGGAAATGGAGAGACGTGAACCAAAATTACAAGCATTCATTCAAAATCTATGGATTTGAACCATACCTGTATGGTTCCCTGTAAACATCCTATAGAGAACAAGCTGCACAGACTCACATTATCATAGGTAAATAATTAGAAGTAGGTCTGCAGCGTGGAGGTGGTCAGAGCATTTAAAGTGTGAAATCTGGGGGAAAATACAAACTAAGTATAATCGAATATGTGTTCTTCCTATTTCCAAACAGGTTTTAGGTGTTTCTCAGTGTTTTTACACTTGTTTGCATGTTCTTTCTTTGTCTTTTCCATAAGTCCCCCAGTCCCACAACCTGCTAGATTATCAAGTCACACTCCAATGTACACTTCGCATCTATCCGTTTTGGTACACATTGTTCGCTCAACATGTACATTGTCAATGTGTGCAGTGATTCTTCTTTCATTTCTTTTGTAAATTCTTCCTTCAATCAGTGAGGCTTACTAGACATGATATATTAAACATTTAAGGTGCTATTGCTAGAGCTTCCTTATCTGGACCAATAATCAGGAAGCTTTCCAAGAATGTAGTTTATAATTGGAGAAGGAAAAAGGAGAATGAGGAAGAGGAAGAAGAAAGAGTCAAAATCATTGGAGCAGTCACCAGCTGTGCTCCAGGAAGGGCAGGAGTGCTGAATCAACTCAGCATCACATCCCTCAGTTAAGCAGGTTAGGTTCCCAGAACTGCCATTGCTCCTGTCAGTAAGGAAGAGCTTTGAGGCAAGATCACCACTGACTAGGATGCTACAGAAATAAAGACATCACATCAGGACCTTGAGGCCAGATGTTTACAAATGGTGTTCTCACCAAATGATCCCTACAGACTATTACACATGCTAAGCACTTCAGACAGCAAAGTAAAGGGCCTTTACTCAATATTCACCTACTCTACTACTCCCCAATTGCCTGACATCACATCTAAAACACAAATCCTTAGAGAAATGCCTGACTTCTGCCATGTACAACTGGAGAATTTGCTGCCAAATGAGATGACTGTGTGAGATAACACAGTTTGGGTCATACCCTGAGATTCCCCTGCTGATTCTGAAGACACCCCACTCAAAGAGGCTGTTACCACATCACATCTAAAACACAAATCCTTAGAGAAATGTCTAAGAGAAATGTCTAGTGCAGACACCAGAGTGGCAGCAGCCCTAGTGCCCCCAGCATCTCAGACAGGGTCATTTTACAAGTTGAGGTGATGAACTTGGAACTCAGAGTTCCTCACAGACCAGCTACATGAAGAACAGCCACAACATGAAGAGGGGCAGCCAATAGTCACAGCTTCCCCAAGTTAAGGCATCCAGGCCTGAGACATGGAGAGAGGCATACTGCACACACACACACACACACACACACACACGCACATGCACACGCACATGCACAAACACACACACACACCATGGGTCTGTATCTATCTCTCTATCATCTATCTATCTACTATCATCTATCTATCTATCTATCTATCTATCTATCTATCTATCTATCATCTCTCCACATTTCTAAATAGATTAGCTTTATGCTTTTTCAGTCTGATAGCCTTAGGTTCATTTCTCCTACTTTTACTCCATAATTTTCTAGGGTATTATTAAGTATAAATCATTGCTATATAAAAATGACAGGAAAGAAGAAAACTTTTGAACTTTTGTGTGATTCTTGATTCAGCAATGAATTAAGGAAGAGAGGTACAAGAAAGGCCCAAAGTGGATGCATCTGGAAGTTTTGCCCACCAACAAGTATCCCTGGGGATAGTCATTCAGTCCAAAATCTCTAATCCAATGCTGGGTGGGCAGAAGCTCAAGAGAGCAGTCTGAAGAGGGGAGGGAAGAAGGAAGTAAGTGGCTTTGTTATTTTACAATAACTTGGGTACCAAATACAATCATCCCTCAGTATCAATGGGAGATTGGTTCCAAAACCCTCCCAGAGATACCAAAATCCACAGATGCTCAAGTCCCTTATATAAAATCAGATAGTGTTTGCATATAACCTATATACATCCTCTGGTATACTTTAAATCATCTCTAGATTACTTATAATACCTAATACAATTCCTAAGCATCATTTCATTTGTGTGGAGCGGGTTCAATATCAAACTTTACACACTGCAAATTCAAGTTTGCTTTTCGAAACTTTGTGGAATTTCTTTTTCTGAATACGTTTGACCTACGGTTTGTTGAATCCACAAATGTGACCAGTGTGGAACCCACAGATATGGAGTACCGGCTGTATGTTTAAGGAACCTAAAACTTCCCTCAGGCTAGAGATGGAAAGTAGCAGAATAACTTCTACACACTTCTCACCTCCCCCTGTTGAAAACTTTTGGGAAATTCTTTTTGTTTTCATCCATTAAGTTGATCCAAGATAAAAGTAACTTAGGTCCTCTGAGAACAGGAGCAACTAGAAGAGGATGACGAATGAGCCTATCTACCTGGCAGGAGATAGACTCCCATTGAGTCTGAAAATCAGATCCAGAACATTTGTACCCAGACAGCTCAAGGTAGGAGTTAGGAAAAAAAAAAAAAAACATGGAAAGATGAATGGATGGATCAATTGATTGATCAAAATATAGGTAGATTCTAAATATTGACAGATATTGAACTAATACAATAAATAGGATATTATAAGTAAAAATCATAAAACAGGAAGCCTACTGCAGAACATGAAACCGAAACCCAGCATAAATAACTGACTTCACAACAACTCTGCCACATTTAGATTATGACAAACTCAGCATGTATTCTGGTGGGGAAGTGGCAGAAATAATGAAAAGTCTAAGACAAGGTAATACATAATAGAGTCCTGAAAGTGTAGCTTTGGAGGGAAATCAGAGTTCTATAACAGGTGATAAGCAACGTCTTCCTTCAGTTCTGCTGGTGTGTCTTTGTGATTGTGCATAAAACCTTCTTTGAAGATGAGAAACTAAAATCTCACTTTGAGGACCTCTGTGACTGTGAGGTGCAGGCTTCATGACCCCACCAATAGCAGTGACAGACTTGGAGTCAACTCAGAAATATCTTTCTTGTACTGTGGTGGAATCAGGCTGAACCTCTGGCCGCAAACTTCACAGGCACCAATTCTGCTTTCTAATCAAGGTTCAGATGTTTGGATGATGCAGTTAATGCTCTTACTCACCCAAGCCTTCTTTTTCCCTTAAGGCATCCCCAGTGCTTCACATGACATAATTTTTAGCTCCTTTCCTGCCTGGTCTCTTTCCTTGCACCTACATACTGGGTGGGTTAATAGGGCAGGTCCAGAGAATCATTCCTAACCTGTGTCTGGGCAGAGATTTTCCATGGACAGCCTTGGGGAGAACTGGTTTTCTGCCCTGCCTTGTACCAGGGAGGCTCCTGCACTCGTAGTTTTCTTTCTGGTTATAGTAGAGGGGAATGAAAGGTGTTTAGTCACTAAGGATGAAAAGATTTGAGTGTTTATGAGCCTCTCCTACATGGGTATTTAACTTAATCACTTGGGCTTTTGTTGTTTGAGAAAGAACCCCATAGGAAAACCTGGCTTCTACAAGCCTTTTTGTTGTTGTTGTCATGTTCTCTTGGTCCCAAGGAAGTGTTCGGAATATCAGCAGCAACAAAAAAATTACTATCGCTTCTCCTCTTTTCCTTAATATGTAAGCTCTGACCCTGCACCCTCAAATAAGCAGAATTGGGCCTCTGGACAGCAGAGTACCATCCAAGAAGGGAGAAGCAACACATATCACAGCCTCCAGACCATTGGGATGAAGACCCCCAAGAATAAATACGTATTTCATTCATCACTGATTCCCATATTAGCCCGCAGTATCAAGATCTGGAAGATCAAAGATGGGTTTTGAATGTAAGAAAAGAACAGTCCTACTCAGAACTCTCTTGGGACAACTGATACCATCCAAACAAAGACAGAAAATATCTTCATGTGCTCAGCACTGTAAGAAATTGAGTATCACAGAATGTGAGGGCAGTTAAAAGAACTACTGTACAAATCTACTTGATCGCTTCTGAAGAGTTTTTAGGAAAAAGAAATCCACTTGAAAATTGACAAAAGTCTATAA